GGGCAGGTTCCCTGCTCCGTTGCTACCCCCAAGTGTATTCCCCTTTTCTGACTTTCGCAGGCGTGCAGAATGTCAGTCTGTCCCCCATGGGGTGGGGGAGATAGTCGCAACCAATGCCTAAGCAACCACTCACATTTTTTGTATTTTAATAAAGTTGTGGCCAAAATTATGCCCAAAACCTTAAACAAAAATTTCTGTGTGATGTGTGAGTTACTGGGGTAGCCCTTGGGGACCTTGACATGCAACTAGATGGAGTAATAAGTTTAACTTAGTATAAAGCAGCTTTCCTATGTTCCCACATTCACAGACTCGCACACATACATACCTTAAGAATTGAGCTGTGGACATGATGGAGGCCAAAACAGACTGAAGGAGAGATCAGGGCAAAGAAATCAAACCAAGGGCTTTTCTGCAAATGCTGCTTTTGAAGAGGAGTGTAACGAAAGAGAGAGAGAAGCAGAGGCAGCACAGAGAAGGAGAAAAAAAGCAGGAAGGAAAGATTTCATGAATCAGTGCCAGCCCATTGAAAATGCTGCTTTAAAAGGATTCCAAATGATACTGCAAATGCTTTCTTGCTGCCTTGTTAAAACACCAGTTCCTGATTACGCACTCACATTGCTGTAATTCTATCCCTGCAAACAGCTGCTTTATGCTCTTGCCCAATTTTATATACACTACATCTGGGATGAAAGAAGACTGAGGGATTTCAAGCCTTAAACATCCTACTTCCAGCCAAGCATTTGATCACAGATGAGAGCAGACAGGTTTGAGATATTCAGAACTTCATACAAGACTCCCCTCTCGCAAGTGTGTTACGTGTCGAATGTAACGTGATCATATACTTGAGTTGGCAGAAACACACACACACACACACACACACCATAATAACATGGACTTGGTTCCTTAGAGCATGCAAAGGTTCCAGGTTCAGTCTTAGAATTTTCAGGTAGGACTGGGAGAACACCAAGCGGTGATGGGGGTGTCTTCAATCTTCTTTCTTGTAGGCGGAATCTTGTAGGTGGAATCTTCTTTCTTGTAGTTTGGATCCATTGCTCCTTGTCTGCTGCTCCAGAGAAGTGGACACGGAGCAATGGATCCAAACTACAAGAAAGAAGATTCCACCTAAACATTAGGAAGAACTTCCTGACAGTAAGAGCTGTTCGACAGTGGAATTTGCTGCCAAGGAGTGTGGTGGAGTCTCCTTCTTTGGAGGTCTTTAAGCAGAGGCTTGACAACCATATGTCAGGAGTGCTCTGATGGTGTTTCCTGCTTGGCAGGGGGTTGGACTCGATGGCCCTTGTGGTCTCTTCCAACTCTATGATTCTATGATTCAATTGTGTCTGTCTCCATGTGAGCCCATTGTTTCGTCTAGTCCTATAGGAATATGTGGCATACTTGGTTGGCGACGTAGTAGTGTTCTATATTGGGAATCCCCCCCTCACCCCCCATGCCAACAAAACTCACTGCAGTCAACTGAAGGCAAGCAACCATGCTCTGGGCTCCCCACAACTTCTCTCACTGCCAACAAAAACTAATAAATGAATGGGGGGGGGAGCTGCCCACACGACGGTGACACAAAAACCTCGCACATACATTATGTCAAAGAATGAAAGCTTTCTACCCCCTTCTCCCCCCCCCATGGCTCTCTTCTCTCCCATCTTCATATGGCCTATAACATTAGTGTCTCCCATTGAATATAACTGATCTGTAGAAAGGACTCTATGAACTGAAAGCAGAGGTGCCGCATGTATTTTTGTTAGCCAAAGAAATCTTAATAAAAGCAATTTTTAAAAATCTGGGCAAGCCACTAACAGGCAGTATAGACAATATTGAGCAAGATGGACCAGTCATCTGACTGTTGCTGTCTACTTTCACCACCCACAGAAGTTCAGGGGCTAAGTGCAAGGAGAGATAACTTCTGTGTTACACACACTAAGTTGTGATATTCCCTCCCTACACAGATGCATGTGGTACCTTCATTATGCACATTTTACTATGTACAGATCCTGCACCTCTTTATCCTGGCCTTTGACACCTGAAAGTCTGGTGTCAGGTGCTTTTAACATGCTTTATTAATAGTGCTCTACCACAAATGCTTTCAGTGAAAAGTCTATTTGATCCAGATGAATACATTTATGCAGTACTGATATTAATATAAACATTTGAAATCATTAATCAAGAAACAGACGGGTCTACAGGATGACACTCAAGTTGGATCTCTATTGAGTTTCACAATTAATATTGCTTTTACAGTACTTTGTTCTTTGATTCAGGAAGTTTACCTTTCTCTAAACTCTCATTCTTATCCCAACTAATTGTTGCATTAAAACAATAATATCACAATAAGACAATCTCTTTCATGCATGAATCATATAATTCATATTACATCATGAATCATATTACAGGATCTCCAGATAGCCATTCTTACTTCTCTCTGGATAACCATAGTATAGAGCAAGCATCACAATCTAAAAACATCACTCAGCAGTTGAAAAAAATAAAATAAGTGGACATCTCTGAAGCTCTTCAGACATATACACTCTATGGTAAATACATTTGTTTGGGGGGGAAAAAGCTGAAATGAGCATACACTATAATCAGAAGAGAAACGCAAAAGTTTCTGATTACTTTGAAGACATCATACCAGGTTTTGCTCCTAGAACTCTAGCTCCTCTGTATCTTCCTTCTCCTTCAAAAGAATCTGGAATATGACCCATGTGTTCTGCTTAGATCAACCCCTTTTCTTTCTTCCAAACAGGAAACACATCAGTGGATGAAATATGATATTTAGACAGCTGCATAAGAACTAATACTGTGTAAGAGCCGAATGAAGAAATGATCAGTTAAGAAAAACAAAATTAACGGGAAAGCTAAGTTAAGGAAGAAGCAGAGTACAAGCCAAATGGCTGCCTCCTCTGTTGTCATCTCAAAGATAGTTTTATGAACAGGATAAGAGTGGAGATAGTCCTTAGTGAGAGGCCACTCACAGTGCTATTTTTTTCTAGACAAAGAGGTGCCAGAACTCGCCATGAATGCCTCCCTTGTTCTCTTATAATGGAAATGGCGCCCACCTGAGAGGTGCCAGAACTGAGTTCCAATGAGTTCTGGTGGGGGAAAAAGCCCTGACCACACATGAAATAAAATTAAACCCACTTTTCAGAAGAGACACGGATGAGGCACTAGAGAAGTCTTCATTATTCTCCTGACCTGTAGATCACTGCTATAGTAACTACATCAAGATAAATCCCTTTATTGATGTTAGTGATGCCTTGATTTTATATTTCCATGCTTAAGCTGCTTAGCAGAATCATGGATACACAAACCAAAACCCAGGATATCAGATATTGTACAGGTACAATTTCAGATGGTGCCACAGATAGCACTTCTCTCTGTGTTTGATGGAGATAATAAAAGCACGGCATGTAAAGAACTTGAAACATTTTTTCTTGGTAACTGAATGTTTTTTATTATTTATTACTATGTATTAATATTATTATTATTAATCTGTTGTACAAAATTGGAAAACTTTACAGGATTTTTGTGATGATCTTGCATAAGAAATGTATGGAAGACTAATCCTTCTGAGAAGGTTACATACTACTTTAAGGCCCTGAAAAGATTGGCTAAAGGTACTCCATTTCAAGATATATGGCAGCATTTTATTACATGTGTTAACATGCATCTTTTATATCAACAGCTCCCAACAGTAACATTAAAACTTTGGAATTCCTAAATCTACTGGATTTATTTCATGAAGCAATATGCTACTATACATCTCCCCTGTTATTAAGATGATTACTTTTGTTAAATACAAATGCATTAATTTTAAAGAAAACAACCCACTCACATATATACATACAAGATTACAACCTAAGAATCATCATAACAAAATCCGTTTGGCAAACTGGAAAGTGGGAAAGATATCCCTCCCTTCCTGACATTTTCTGAGTTGGTCCCATAGCAGCATCAGTGGAAAATGGAGGAAGAATTGGCAACTCCATTATTCCTTGTACTTTGCTTTCCGTGTTTAGTCAGTCATGGTGCTTCTCCTTGCACAAATTGTTGGGATACTGCCAGGGAGACAAAGGCCATCACTGCCTGCTTCGATGTCTCAGGCACAGAGAGAAAACGAAAGCATATAGACAAACAGAAACTTCCTGTGAGCAGGAAATACGTAGGCTGTGACTCGCAACAGCCTGTCCCCTTTTTAAGGTGGAACGGAAATATCCTAACACAAATATCCTGCCATTCTTCTCCATCTCCTCAGTTTAAAAATGGTTCAAACTCTCAATGATTATCTCGTGCATGGTTTACTGTGACGCTTTCCTCTCTGGGCTTCCTCACTGTTCTACTTTATCCAACCCTTGGCTGCCTCAACTATTTACATCTCCGGCCATTCACACCTTCTGTTGTCTCTCCCCGATTCCCTTCCCCAGCTTCCCAGTCATTTCCACCATTGGTAAAACTCTGGATCCCTGTAGCTGGATCTGAGCCGGTCTATAAGACAGTCACATGTGAACCTCTATGCTAGTAAACGCCATATTATATTTGGAACTGCACTCAAAAAGGTCAGCAAGAGCAAAACTAAAAGCAATTTTGGAGACAGAGCGCAAAATGCGATTGAAGAGATTTCTCAAAGGATTTCTGTGTGTGCCTAGGTTGTCAGGTGGCTTTTCCAGATGTGCAGTTCACATCTGGTAGCTTTCTCTGGAAGGGAATCAAAATGATTTTGACATGACTCAGAAGGCTCCTTGGGAAGGTTCTTTTTTTTAACATAGTTATTTTTCTCATGGCATGGGTTTTGTACCAAATGCTGTTGTAACTGCCTTCACCACAGAAAACTCTCAAATCTAATCTGTATACCTCAAAGTCATGCTGATAGATCAAAACTTCCTGGCATTTAACAGCCAAGAGCATGTGCCCAGTATACCATGTTCTTGATTCTGTTTGGATTTATGGTGAATTATTATTATTGTATTCTCTATATTGTGTGTAGGCGAAGGGATGTAGTTCAGTGCTAGAATATCTCTCTTGCTTGCAGAGCATCACAGGTTCAATCCCTGGCATCTCCAGATAGGGCTGTGAAAGACTCCTGCCATTCAACATAGGTGCCAGCTCCAAAATAAAATATTTGAGGGGACTGGGCCCCCGCAAAGTTGATGGGCATTTCCATTCAAATGGTGGATGTGCACTGTGCCATGTGATTGATTATATGGGGTGGGGCTTGCCTGGGCCCCCACAATATTTCATTCAAGTTTGCACCCCTGCCAGTCAATGTATACAATACACTGAAGGTTGGTGGTTCGAATCCCCATGATGGGGTGAGCTCCCGTTGTTCTGTCCCAGCTCCTGCCACCCTAGCAGTTTGAAAGCACACCAGTGAAAGTAGATAAATCGGTAATGCTGTGGTGGGAAGGTAAACAGAGGTGTTTCCATGCGCTCTGGTTTCCATCACGGTGCTCTGTTGCACCAGAAACAGTTTAGTCATGCTAGCCACATGACCCGGAAAGCTGTCTGTGGACAAACGTCGCCTCCCTTGCCCTGAAAGTGATATGAGTGCCACAACCCCATAGTTGCCTTTGATTAGACTTAACAATCCAGGGGTCCTTTTTTTTTTTTTTTTACAATACAGAGCTATATGGTCCAATGGTTGCTTAGCTCTCTATGCCCCTTTGGTATATGATTAGGTGAACTATAAATGTCCTTAATACAGTAAATAAGTTTTCATATGTGGAACTTCTCATGTTTGGACCTACAGTAGGTAGCCAAACCTCACCACCCTTGAACAAGAAAGAAATGTCAGCAGATTTGGGAAACATCAGGTCCTCCCTTAAAGAGGGCACATATTACGGTGAGACCTGGAAAACCGACACCCTGTGTTGTGGGTGAGTATGATTGGTCAGCCATAACACTCAATTGGTAGGTCCCTTGTAGCTGGGTGCAATCTGGCCAATGGGACGCAGTCCAAATGGTTCGAGGGACCTATTTATGCCCATGCACGTGACCCGGAGCTCCCTCTTTTGGCACGTGCATTGGAACACCCGCCCACATCTCCCTACTTTTAGGACTTTGCACTTAACTTTGCTATGCCATCGTGTGTCATCTGTCATTGGGACAGGGGCATGGCAGGAATTTTCCCCACTTGGCTGATTGGCTGTTGCCATTTGGGTTTCGCCTGCCGTGTAGCAAATCATCACAACTTGTAAGGTTGCGGAAAGGCTCTGGTTCAGGTGATAGGGATGGGAGAACACTCTCGCCATCCCTCTGTGAAGGGTATACCATTAAAGGAATCCATGGACTCAATGGTTTGGTCAACCCCTGAGAGGGGGTTGTGCCCGTGCCTGAATCCAGGGGGACATTTGGGTGGCGGAGTTAGCCTGTTCCCAACTTTCCGCTTATCCAGGTGTTACCCTTGGCTGACCTATGCTGGAACCCTGCATGGCAGGGAGCTAGTTGAACCAGAGCCTATGCAACCAGTCATTTTCTGTAATCAATAAAGTTGTGGCCTAAATTCTGCCCCCCAAAAAAATAAAAATTGAGACATGCGTGAATTTATTTAGGGAGGGAGGTTTCTGGGTCTGAACACGCAAATATCTAACTAAGTAGAAACTATAGTGTCTTATCGTGACTAGAGTGATACAGCTAAAACCTGTATTTTTGGAGTCATCATAAGCGGATTTCAACAGAGGTGGTCTCCACTTACTTTGTAGAGTTTTCTTCTTCTTTGAAAACATTCTTGAGCCTGGCTTCCATGCTCTCCCTAGGCCTGCCTCTTTTCTGTCTCCCAATCAGGAAATATATCAAAGGGTTCACACTGCTGTTCAGAGCAGTGTTTAAGTAGCAATAAGGTAAGGAATAGGGTGCTGGTGAATGAAAAATATAAATGATCATGTAATAGGCATTCAGTGGGAAAAAAAAACCATGAAGAAGAACAGAGTAAGCAGGATAACCATTAGTAGTTTCCCCCGCTTTCGTTGTTGTGATTTAAAGCAGACCTTGATAAACAGGATCAGGGTGGAGATAGTCATGAGTGGAAGGCAAAATGAGCCATTAAAAGTATACTGATAGTGTTTTATGAGATCCTGTTCTCCCTTAAAAGTCAGGCAGACAATGAAGCGAATTCCAGGGAGAAGGAAAGAAAACACCCATATTAAGGCACACACAATGGTGGGCAAATGTGGCGACCGGTGGTATCGGTACCAAAATGGGAACAGGACAGACACACACCTGTCAAGGCTGATAGCTGTCAGCAGAAACTGACCCGTGTTGTACATGAATTGGAAAACATCACCAAGGAACACATGGAGAAGGGTCTCATTCAGACCTCCTACAGCCCAAACTACTTCTATAATCAATTCAACTGTGAGTAAGCCAAAGTCAGCAATGGCGAGGTTCAGGATGTACATGGTAAAAGGACTCCTCTTAATATGGAAGCCAAGCAACCAGATGACATTTCCAGTTCCCCAGCACCCCAAAATGCAAATTATAATTATTAATACAAACAAAACATATAGTTCTAATTCATAATACATAATTGATTTTGTGTCATCATTACTGCTGCTGTTGTTGGAAAAAGTAGTTTCATTGTACGAAAGGGACAAAGATGTTAGGTTGAAACTGGTCATCATCTTCAATCTTTGTTTCTGTGCTTCTTCTGGTGTATATATTTCTGCTGGAAGTAAAGAATCAAGGGTGTCAATTAGTCTTTGCTAATGTATCTGAGCAAATGAAGATTGAATTAAAGCTTTCTGTTTACTCTAGTCTTTCTTGCCTCATCCATTATAGCAATTTCCTAAAATATTGTTGAAGTGAAATAATTCTTCCTGGCTCATCTCCAGTTACTGTGGCATTTTCAGGAACACACATAAAAAATAATGATAATTATTAGCCTTGATGCAATGACAAACCTAGACAGCATCTTAAAAAGCAGAGACATCACCTTGCCAACAAAGGTCCGTATAGTTAAAGCTATGGTTTTCCCAAAAGTGATGTATGGAAGTCAGAGCTGGACCATAAAGAAGGCTGATCGCCGAAGAATTGATGCTTTTGAATTATGGTGCTGGAGGAGACTCTTGAGAGTGCCATGGACTGCAAGAAGATCAAACCTATCCATTCTGAAGGAAATCAGCCCTGAGTGCTCACTGGAAGGACAGATCCTGAAGCTGAGGCTCCAATACTTTGGCCACCTCATGGGAAGAGAATACTCCCTGGAAAAGACCTTGATGTTGGGAAAGATGGAGGGCACAAGGAGAAGGGGATGACAGAGGACGAGATGATTGGACAGCTTTCTCGAAGCTACCAGCATGAGTTTGACTAAACTGCGGGAGGCAGTGGAAGACAGGAGTGCTTGGCGTGCTCTGGTCCATGGGGTCATGAAGAGTCGGACACGACTAAACGGCTAAACAACAACATTAGCCTAGATAGTTCAGCTGGTTAGACGTTGATACTGGCAACGTCAAAGTTGCAGGTTCAATCCCTGTATGGGACCGCTGCAGATTCCTGCATTGCAGGGGATTTGACTAAATTATAATAATAATAATAATAAATTTTATTTATATCCCACACTCCCCAGCCGAAGCTGGTCTCAGGGCGGCTAACAGCAATCAAAATAATCCATCATTCTAAAAACATTCATTATAAAATTAATTAAAATCAAATTGATGGCAACCATTAAGCAAAATTCTGTGCAGATTGCCAGAGGAGGGGGTCAGGCTGTGCCCTGACCAAAGGCCTGGTGGAACAGCTCTGTCTTGCAGGCCCTGCGGAAAGATGTCAGGTCCCGCAGGGCCCTAGTCTCTTGTGACAGAGCGTTCCACCAGATTGGAGCCGCGGCTGAGAAAGCCCTGGCTCTAGTTGAGGCCAGCCTAACCTCTCTGTGGCCTGGGATCTTCAGGATGTTTTTATTTGCAGACCGTAAATTTCTCTGTGGGACATACCAGGAGAGGCGGTCCCGTAGGTATGAGGGTCCTAGGCCGTATAGGGCTTTAAAGGTTAAAACCAGCACCTTAAACCTGATCCTGTACTCCACCAGGAGCCAGTGCAGCTGGTATAGTACCAGATGAATATGATCTCACAGCGAAGACCCCATAAGGAGTCTCGCCGAGTACCGGATGAATATGATCTCACAGCGAAGACCCCATAAGGAGTTTCGCCGCGGCATTCTACACCCGCTGGAGTTTCTGGGTCAGTCTCAAGGGCAGCCCCACGTAGAGCGAGTTACAATAATCCAATCTGGAGGTGACCGTCGCATGGATCACAGTGGCTAGGTCAGGGCGAGAGAGATAAGGAGCCAACTGCTTAGCTTGGCGGAGATGAAAAAATGCCGCCTTTGTTATAGGGAGGTATCGAAGATTACACCCAAACTCTTAACGGATGGTGCTGGCACTAATTGCACCCCTGCAAGAGATGGGAGTTGCCTCCTCAATCCCATATCGCCCTGTCCCAGCCAGAGGACCTCTGTCTTCGAAGGATTTAACTTCAACCGGCTCCCACATAACCATCCAGCCACAGCTTCCAAACATCTGGTCAGTGTGTCTGGGGCCGAGTCAGGATGGCCATCCATCAACAGATAGAGTTGGGTGTCATCGGCATACTGCTGGCAACCCAGCCCAAAACTCCGGACAAGCTGGGCGAGGGGGCGCATAAAGATGTTAAAAAGCATCGGGGAAAGAATCGCACCCTGAGGCACTCCACACACCAAGGAGTGGCGCGATGACAACCCCCCCCCCAAGTGCCACCCTCTGTCCCCGACCAGAGAGAAACGAGTGCAGCCATTGAAGGACTGTGCCCTGGATCCCCATGTCGGCAAGGAGTTCGTGATTGACCATGTCGAAGGCTGCTGACAGGTCTAGAAGAATCAGCAGCCCCGACCCGCCTCGATCCAGCTGCCTGCAGAGATCATCTGTTAGGGCGACCAGAGCCATCTCGGTCCCATGACCAGCGCGGAAGCCAGACTGGAATGGATCGAGAGTCGATGTTTCATCCAGAAACCTACCAAGCTGTTCAGCAACCGCTCTCTCAATCACCTTACCCAGGAATGGAAGATTCGAAACCGGGCGGTAATTGGATAGATCTAAGGGATCTAATGATGTTTTCTTTAAGAGCGGACGCACCACTGCCTCCTTCAGTTCCCCTGGGAATTATCCTCAGGTTTCCTTCCAGCTCTACAGTTCTATGATTCTATGACCTTAGTCTACGTGCTCTGAATTGATTAATTTTTCTATCTTTCCATACATTCCTGTAGATTTTTTTAAAAAATACAGGTTGAAGCTGAACTGCAGATAGTTGCTGAGATAATCCCTCTTCCTTCTCCATTCCTGCAGAGCATGGAATCATAGAATCATAGAGTTGGAACAGAGTTGCACCCTCAATACGGGTCTCCAGTGATCAAGGCTGATTCAGTTTGCAAACTGCACCTGAACCCAGATTGAAGTACCATGAAAATTCTTACAGCATGTTGCTATGTGTGCTAATGCCAAAGAATATGATTGATCAGTAAGCAAACATGCTTAGCTACAAGTGTGCTCAGAAACTTATTTATTATTATCTTTTATCAATTAAATTTCCTTCATTCGAGGATCACAGGGTGGTTTACAATATAAAAAACACAAAAATACATACCACCATATCAAACAAAAACAATACCCCACCCCAGGTTAAAAGGCCAACCATTATTTAATTAGCCAAAGACCTGAAGGAAGATAAATGCCTTTGCCTAAAGATATGTAATGAAGGCACCAGGTGAGCCTCTCTGGGGAGAACATTTCATTCGTGTAACATTATTAATGTTAAATAAATTTAATGTTAAATAAATTTGCTTAAATTTGCATAAAGTGCCCTAAAATGCTGAATAATCTTCATTTGAATTTTTTATTTTAAGAAATAGCAAGTTACTGCAGAAGTGTGCAGAACTGAATTTAAGAATGCAAAAATAAATAAATAAATGAGGAATTGGGAAAGCTGAAATTGACAGAGGAAACAAATGAGAAGATGTGATGGAAGATTACACACATTCTCTCTTTCTGGACAGCATGGGGGAGACAACTGGGGAGAGTTGGGGGAGGGGAAGAATATGCCATCAAGAATATGCACACACCCAGATTGCAGATTTTTTTTGTATTTTTCCTCATTAAATAATGGTTGCTTGCAGAGAACATGTAGTCCTGGTGGGACTTGGTCAACTACTTCATATGCAGCCACGTGGTATGATCTTTTGAAGGCACTAGAGGAGTTAAGGCAGACAAATGAATGGGTGGTTCTGCAACAGATACCATGCAACAATTGTTATTCATTTATTTAACAATGTTTACGCAGTATGAGCATGTTCCAGGGGTGGTGTGCATCTACAAAAAAATACATATACTCGAACCACTTCTTTGGAACTGCCCCCATTCTTATCTTTCTAGGACCATGGACTGAGTGGGCCTTGCGTGAGAGCACCCTGGATAATGTTCTGCAAGGCAAAGAGCTTGAAAGCTCTTTCTGCACCAGGAAAACCCAAAAAAAGAGTTTTAAGCTCTCTGCCTTCCGGCTTTTAAGAAAAGTGCTGGTGATGTGTTGCTTTCATTGTAATTATTTGTACAGTTTTAATAGATTAGGTGTATATAGTTTTAATTCTATCAGTGTTTAATGTTTTTTTAATTACTATCTTTTTCTGTGTTTTTAGTGGTTTGTATTTTTACTTGTAAGCCATCTTGAGTCAGGCCAGCGAAAAAGGTGGGGTCTAAATCAATCAGTCAATCAATAATAATAATAATAATAATAATAATAATAATAATTTACACTGGCTGGCTTCAGCCACATAAAGTCCAATTCACAGACGTTAAACATGTGTAAGCGGCAATCTTATGTATAATTGTAAAAAAGAAACACTCAAAGTGGTTTACAAAAAAAAATTAGCATAGATATAGCATGTCAATTTCTCCTTCGGAATAGAATTTAGTTTCCCTTTCTCTCCCCCCACCCTGTTTTTAGTATTATCTTGTACTATGGTGGTTACTAGAAAACAAGCTTTTCCCTTGCAGTTAGTCATCTTTGAAAAGCTGCTCAGAGAGGGTACATGTAAACTTTAAGGGATGTGCCATTCAAAATACCCACGTAGTGTGGATCTCATTGAGGGGAAAGATAGAGATAACATACATATGTGTCAGTGACCATCCTGCTATTACTTGGGTCCATGGTCACACTTAGAGAATTTTCAGAGGAAACCACCACTTAAATGTCAAAAACAGAGAAGGAGATCTGGAAAGGAATAGATGAATATGAACAAAGTCATTTAGAAATGGTTTGCTTTCATTTTGGTTAGGATGATGACAAAGAAGTTAAGCCAAAATCTTTAGAGAACAGGTTTTCTTTGAGGAGGATGTGAAGGAAGGGAGAATAGGAAGTGGCCTCAAAGAAGAGGAAAATGGGTCACCCATAAAAGGTTCTCTGCACAAAATATCCTACCTTATTCAATTCCACCTGGTTTCCCACCATAAGGCTTGGGATCTTCTCTTAGAATTCTTGGGTCTGAATCAAGACCTCTTTTCTGTTTTCAAAAGAGATGTTGCCCATTCAGAAGGCGGCACACAACCTTGGTCAGAGAACATCAGATAGATTTGTGTTTGTTCAGGAAGGGTGGGGCAGATAATTTTATATCCTGTTAAATTGTGCAAATCAGTTAGCAGGTGCCTCAAATGGCATGTGCAGGTTCTCTTTCTCCTCCTCGGTACTTCAGCAATCTCCTGTGTGTGTGGTCTGATTCCTTTGATATTGTGTATAATTTGATGTGTTGGATTGTATTGTTAGGGGACATTCGGCACAGAAACATGTGTGTATACCTTTAAGAAGTTTCTGGGATTAATTGGCTGCAGCTGGCCATTGCTATAAAGGAAAAAAGCTGAGTTTTGTAGCCTGCCTGCAGGAATAACACCCACCAGAGTTTGTGTTTATTGTTTTGTAATAAAGTCTTTGTTTTAGTTTGGGTTTTTACACCAATGTCTCCTGGAGTCACTCTGTCCTCTGCCACCAGCTGGAAATCTCCCCCTCCAACAGGTTATGGGCCCAGTCCCCAGTCCTGAGTGGGCTGAGACAGAGCGTGGAAAGAACCCAGAGACTGGAAGCAACTCAGCGTTTCTCAAGCAGCTGTCTGTCTGAAGGCATCGGCAGGGAGTGTCTGTTTGAGACCAGGAGCCGAACATTTCTTCAAGCCACGTGTGAATAAGGACTGAGTGGAAAGCTGAAAGCTGGGTGGAGCCATGGCTGGACTTGTAAATCCTGAAATGTACCATTCAATAGTTGGAAGTCTCCCTCTGCTACACAATGTGTGTGGAAATAGTGGAGGCAGGCAGAGGAGGAAAAAGAAATCTGACTCCCTCAACTCTGGAAGGGATAACAGAGGCAGAGAGAAAGAGACACGCACATGCAGAAGCTGAAGCTCCATTCCAATTTCATTCCAGTCTTTTTCCCCCCGCCTGCATCTCTCTCTGCCTTTCCCCTCCCTTCCAC